AGAGAGAGAGAGAGAGAGAGAGAGAGAGAGAGAGAGAGAGAGAGAGAAAGGAGAGAGCCTTCGTTATCGCGCGGGAACATTGCTCGATATTGAGGAAAGCCCTAGAATGCGTTCAAAGCGACCTACAATCTCAAAGGGAGACGCGATATATATGTATGTGTTTCACGAGCCTTGGCTCAAAGAAGAGCGTGGAATTCGAACGTCGACTAATCGGTTTACGATTGAGCGCAACGCAATGTGCGCTGTCCCGAGCGTTGTACGTCGCGCCACGTTACGCTGCGTCGCGATTGCATGAGACACGCAAAGTTGAACTCACCTTTTCTACGACTCACGCGGCGGGCGACGTCTCCCGTCACATTCCACGAACCCGTGACGTCCGTTACGGCTACGGGAAAGACGATCCTCCTCGTCGTCTCGGGTTCCGTCGTTGTCGCTCTCGGGTGCCGCGTGCGCGCCGGTATCATCCACGCCTTTGTCCAGCAGCAGACGACGACGACGATCTCGCAGATGCCGAGCCGAGTGTGTCCTTCTCTCCCACGTGGAGTCCTTCCCTTCACCGGCTTCTCGCCGTTGAGCGAGATTCAGCCGGCGTCACGGCGCTCCGCTCGAGATAGCGCCGTGCCACGCGCTCCTTCGGAATCTCCGCTACGCGAAGGAAGCGCCGGCTACGTGGCCGGAGTCCTTCCAGCGCGAAGCCGCAGGTAATAATCCGCGGCTGTTCCAATCCGCGCTGCTGGAGCACACGGGTGTCCAAAAGATGGAGACAGACAGAGAGCGTACGATTCTCTGTCGAACAATGAGCTCGAGAATGCCGCACTGTGTGTGTATGTATATATGTATGTGTAAAAGAGAGTGTGTAACGTAGTAGCAAATAGTAACCTCACGTGAATCTCTGTCCTCTTCTCCACGAACGGGAGAGATCCTCTTCGATATTCCCGATGTCGAGGTCACGACACGACCGGTCCCACTCGAGACTCTCGAGGTTAGGATTAGGTTAGGTTAGGTTAGCCGGGAGGAGCACAGCGCGCCAGGATGCACCGCGGGATGCGCCGCGGCGGTGCATGAAAACCGCACCGGCACAACTAGCCGCCCGCGCCGGTCGGAACTCCCTTCAGGACGACGGACATTTCCCGCGGCGAAATCGCCTGCTCTCGCGGCTCTTCGCTCTCTTTTCCTACTGTGTCTCGCGCGCTCCTCACTGTCCTTTCGAAGGGGACATCTCTTCAGACGACTGAATACGAGTGCGCGCCGAAAATCACTCGCAGCCAACTTCGCTCCGCACGCACGTTCACGTCCCCTCGACGAATGAAAGGCCTCTCTTGCCTGCGTTCTTTTTGTAATCTCTCTTATCGCGTTCTTTGTGTATATCTTTATCTCTGGCGGAGAAATTCCGGAAGGTAAGATTCAGCACTCCCCCGAGCAGAGGAAGATAATGTACCTTGGAACTTCCGGAATAGAGTCGATTGTAAGCACCGTCCTCTTCCTCGTACTCCACGCTACAGCACGGCGATCTTTTCCCGAGGACCGGTTAACGGAGTCTCTTGGAGGCGCGGCGAGGCACGTCGGGAAGTGTCACGGCACGTTGTTGCCGGTGGACGGCGGCGAGGGCCAGGAATGCCTGCTGCTGCTGCTGGTCCTGTTGGTTGCGAGGAACGCGGTCAGCACACCTTTCTCGCGAGTGCACTTCTCTTTCTCTCGCTCTTACTCTCTCCTCCTCTCTCCCTCCCTCTCTTCCTCTCTCTCTCCTTTCTCTCCGGAAGTCACGACCTCTGCGCCAACGAGTGAGTGAGCGAACGAGTGAGAAAGAAAGAGACAGAGGGGGATACTACTCGAGGAGAGGACGACGTGCCTGCTCCGAAACTACGTAGTGAACGTACACGATGCTGCCGCAGCAGCGACGACGGCGAGGACAGGCGTCGTTCACGCCCCCGTTTGTTCGTCGTACGTACGTACGTACGTATGTACGTCTGTATGTATATATGTATGAGTATGTATGTATGAACGTACGTACGTACGTACGCGCTCGTCGTTCGTTCCCCTTTCTTCCCGACGACGGTACCACGGCGACGCGACACAGCCACGCCGTGTTACGCACCCAGGAGAAGGGAGGAGGCCGTCGGCGACCTTCTCCGACGTCGCGCACCACGCACCGCAGATATACAATCACCGAGACTGCCGCGTCAGGACGACGCGCTGGAGACGCAGCTCCGTCGTGGACGAAGCGCAGCGCTTTAGAGGCTGCGCTTCTTGTCGTGTGAGATTGAGAGAGACAGAGAGAGAGAGAGAGAGAAAGAGATCGAACGAATGAGAGAGAGAGGTTCGCAGGTGAGGGAAAGCGGGGGACGAAGAGCACGAGAGTAAGCGCGAGAGGGACAGAGAAAGACGGACAGACAGGCCGAGAGAGAAAGAGCGAGCGCGCTAGAGCCGTTTCTCTCTCACGGAGCAGCCTTCGAAAGGGACGAACGCGACTCACGATTCTCGCGGCAGGATACACGTGCGCGAGCGAGCGATCGGTCGAGCCTCGCGCGTACACGCCACGGGCACACACGAGCACACGTTGTCTCTTTTTTTCTCTCTCACGAACACATATCCCCCGAGAACGGTGGCGGTCTCGTCTCTCGCCTCCTCGCCAACGCCTACACGATACACATTGCACGCAGCAGCAACGACGCCCCTACACGCCGAGTGCAGTGATGATCAGCGTGCGGCGCCGCCGGCAAGATGAGAACCCCGTTTCCGGCGACGCCGTGTGACGCCTTGGCCGGTGCAATAAGAGAGATTTCTACGTACGCGCGATAAAAAGATTTTTCGGAAAACGATAGGACCTTTCTTAGGTATTTTCGATTGGTCGCGCGCTTTATCTTGCGAAATTTATGGAGTCGCGGTAGCGAGCGAAATATAGGGATTTCTGCGCGCTATGGGGAAGTTAGTTACTAGCCTTGGGAGCTTTGCATATAGTTGGTATCGCGTCCAGTTATGCAGGATTCACTCCGCGTCCGACGTACGACGCCCGATATCCAATAAGAGAACAGCTTTCCAATGGAGAATTAAATTTTCTATTAGAAAGCTCTTCTCTTATTGGATATCGGACGCGGTGTGAATCCTGCATCAGGATTGGGAATAGCTAGGTATTTTTAGATGCATTTGGTTTGCCCTGATCAATTTTAAGTCTCAACCTACAATAAATGTAGCGTCTATTACTCTAAGACCAAAATTGTAACATAATTTTATTCGCGATTTTTTATATGATAAGCATCTTTTAGAAGTACGTTACGCTTTTGACTTTAGAACAAAAATTTACACCTTATTGAGAAGATTGAGGCTAAAAAATCTCTAAAATATTCAGTTATTTTTTAAAAATTTGTTCTTTACAATTCTATAGAAATTCTTGTTCTGAAGATCAATTCTATAGAAATATATAAAAGTTTTACTCATAATTTATAATATATACAACTTCAATTATAAATTACATTATGCATTAGTGTAGGAACTAAGGTGTAGGATTTCTTACATTTTGTACGCTGCTGAGATTGTGGAGAAGACATTCAAAAGTTGAAGGTACTCGTCGCTCCCTTCCGTTAGTCTGTAATCACACATCTAAAAACAAAAGTAAATTAGTCTTCCTTAATCTATATCCTTAATCTATTAATATTCAACATGAGCAAAAGTGTCTCACCCCGAGCACGTCACCGATCATAAGTTTCTGCTTGTCGTTCAGATCCTCGCTGAAAATGATCTTCTCGTTCAATTGATCGATGACCTGTGACAGCATCATCGAAATTGACCTAATTAATAAATTTTCTCACGGACAAATAATGTTAAGTATGTTAAATTCAACACATCAAACTTCACATCTTACAAAACGATATTTCGGACACAATACCTGCGACCCCGGAAATCCTTCCAGTAACAAGTTCTCCAGCAATTTCTCGATATCGTTGTAACTCCCCTTCTTACAAGCTTCCCACAGTGCGTTAATTTTTTCATCGGGAACCAGCTGGAGTAATGGCAACGTTTAATTTTTGAAAATATCGTCAGAAATTTGATATCTTCACTAGATGAACGCACTTACCCCGATCACATCGAGAGCATCATCCACAGTGATCTCGTAATCCTTGCCCTTTAATCTCGTGATTGATTGCAGACACATAACGGCCTGTCTCAGATCACCCCCAGAAGCCTCGACTATCTTCTCGAGAACGCTTCGGTCGGCCTTCAGGTTCTCCTCGTTGCAGATATATTCCAGCCGACCGATGCTCTTCGCGTCACTCAGCGGCTTAAAGCGAAACTTGGTGCAACGGGACGCTATCGGCTTGATGATACGCGACAGATAGTTGCACACTAGGCAAAAGCGCGTGCTGTGTGCTTCCTTCTCCATGATGCGACGGAGCGCGGTTTGTGCGGCGCCAGTCATGCTGTCCGCCTCGTCCAATATGATGATCTTGAACGGCGGGCATTTCTTGCCACTGTAAGAGCAGACCAGAGAATATGTCGAGAAGTGTAATTAAATCTTGTCACTTTTCAGAAAATGATTATTCCAATTATTTAACGCGTCGTGACTCAAATATATTCGCAAGGTGCCTCAGACTGTGCCATTTTGATCATGAGCCGCAGTACAGTACATTACTTACTCCAAATAACTAACCCTTAAGTATTTCCTTAGTAAGTTGCTCTTGCAAATAAATGTATTGACGTTAATGCAAATACTAACATGTTTTTGAAGATGCTAATTGAGTCTGATAATCAACGTATTTTCAAAGAATATGTGTGAAAATACATCTACCTATTGAATCACAATTATTTTCACAGTAAAAAAAAAAGAAATGGATTTAGCGTTCTACTAAGCTAATACTGGAGAGTCAGCATTCAGAATGTCTGTTCTCAGAGTGTGATTAGAAGCTTACTCAATCTTCCAATCTTCTTTGAGCTCTGATGAAACATTCTCATATTCGGTTGCTAATAAAAGATGCTAAATAGCTTCATTAGACCTTCTGGAAAACAACCTTTCTAATGCATCAATGCACTGCAGCCATCAGACCTTTTACTAGTTCATCATTGGCATTGACCGTTGGGTCTACCCAAACAGCATAAATGTCTAAACTCTCTTAGAGATATTTAAAACAAGTAGGATATCTTCAAATTTCTAAGATGTCTTTTGGACATTTATATTGTATAAAGGGAAGAGGAAGTATCTGAGAATTCATGGCACACCTGTTATAGATAAAACTTATCAAACCGAAGAAGAAAGTCCTCTATCATTTTGCAAATAACTACATATATTTTTAGTTAAAAAAGATTGGTGCATGATTGTATGTAATCTAAATACATCAATCTTTTTTAAATAATAACTAAAAATCTACGTAATTATTTTCAAAATAATAGAGGACTTTTTTGTTTAGTTTTACCTACAACTTTCTTATGGTTCTATCTGTATACGAGTGTGTCATAAATTGTCATACATCCTGTATAATATAATTGTGACTTATTATTACAATTACTAATTATAATTGATAAATAATTGATAAGAAGCAAGTAAATCTACAAGATAATGTTAATTATTAATAAAATATAGTATTTCATAGAAGTCTGTGTACTCACTCTGGCCTGATAGGATTAGCTCTGCGCAATGCAAAGGACTTGATCTTGTCCCTCACAACTTGGATGCCTCTGTCATCAGAGGCATTTAACTCTAGGATTCTTTCCCTGTACATACTGCCAAACATCTGTCTTGCAGCAGCATGTATTATGCTAGTTTTGCCAGTACCTGGTGGTCCATAAAACAACATGTTGGGAAAGTCTCCGTGCTCCATGGCTTGCCTTATCACGTTCACCACTTCCGTTTGCTCTACAACGTCATCGACGTTTCTTGGCCGGCTAAAATAAAAATGTAAAAGACAATTTATTAAATGTTCATGAAACATCGGAATCACAAAAAAGAATTCACACGACTCAAACCCGGGAACCAAATCTAATGTTCACCGCAAAAGTCTCAAATATCAAATACAACTTAGTATCTTTTTTCTGTTTTAGTTATAGTTTTGTAAGCGAGATACGATAAAAATAATACGCCAAGTCGATATTTACATTTTTTATGTATAAATCATCCAAGATTAACTTGGCGATCAAAGGACTGATCATGAATTTTCCTTCTTAGTATGAACTCGTGAAAAGTTTCACATGCTTCCAAGTCGGACAATTTTTTTACTTTTCTCGACTCGAAAGTTGAAGATTTGCGATTTATACTCAGGAGAATAAATACTCACTATTTCTCCACCCATGGAGTCAGATCCTTCTTATCCTCCTTAGCCCGTGAGGTTGATGGTTTTCTTATCTCCGCCGGAGCACCCAATTTCCCGGTCTTCAAGAAAGCGTGCATCTTTCCAAGCGATCCGATCGCTTGTCGATTTCTACACTCTTTCCCGCCTATTCGACGCCATATTGACTTCTACTCACATTCTTTCTTTTTTTCTTTCTTTCTCTCTCAATAAATTGCTCCAGGCGACTTCTCGTCATAGACTAAAGCTGGTGGCACATAGAAAAACTTAAGCAGTAAGATGTAAGCAGTAAGCAAATCAGCCAATCACAATCGTTGATTCTTCTTACGATCCAAAAATCAACGACTGTGATTGGTCAATTTGCTTACTGCTTACGTCTTACTGCTTAAGTTTTTCTGTGTGCCACGGCCCTAAGGCTGCGTTCCGAAATGCACTGCCAGTACTAGAAAATCTATAGTTCATGTTATGTATATTATAGAATTTCGCCTTAACGATAGTTATCATGAAATTTACGGAAAAATTTATTCTACCCCGTAGGATACATCAAATTGTGCAATTTTTTTGGAGACACTACACGTTTTTACTTGTGAAAAGACTGCGGGAAGGGAAGAGAATAAATTGAAAATCCGTTTAATGCTCCTTAAAGTACAGACTTTATTCTTGGAATATTACAAAAAGATTTCAAATACGATGTTCCGCGGTATTATACTCATTTAAAATTGTGTAAAATTTCGACATGAATTAACTTATGCGATAATTTTGTTGACGAGTGTACATAAAAGAACTAAGGAAATAAAGAACAGAAAGAGCGTTAATGATACAGAAATGATATAAATCTATTCTTGGCCAACATATATATATTGTCGTTCGCTTGTGTGTGCTGCGCCGCACGCACTATAGTTACACGTACTCGGTCCCACATGTGGCAGTTCTGGCCATCCCTCGAATGAAGGGTTATAGCGTGTTCGACTAGCCTTGGGTTAATCGCTCCGAGAGCGAATATTGACGTCATAAGTCTCTACTAGCCAATCATAAAGCTTATAAGTACTTGTTCGACCAATAAACGTAGACTGATTAACCCAGAGTGGGTTAACCTAGAGCCAGTTAAACATGCTATTAGGCGACAGTTTCCCGAAAAGTGGCGGGGATAATGTTGGTACCAAGGAAAATATCTACACCATATAATTTAAAAATTCTGTTTTTTGTAACTGCACTACTAAACTGGTGCAATAAATTGAAGTGAGGCAAGTATATGTTTTCTCATTCTAACCATTTATATTAGTTTAGTAGGTTAGCTACAAAGAACAGATATTTAAATTATATCATGTAAAGATTTTCTTTGGTACCAACATTATCCCCTGTACTTTTCGGGAAACTGTCCCCTAATCGAATGAAGTAAAGTTCTACCAGGGAGAAGCATGAGAGCGGCCACCAGCCTGATTTCAATAGCCAGAGCTAGAGTCCCTAGAATACAGAGCTTTCCCATTGCGCACACTGTGTTACACAAATCAGTTTATTGGTTGCATATTATCTTACAAGATATTTTAGATAATATGTGACTAATAAACTGGTTTGTGTACGTGTGTCAAGATGGTTAAGCAATTGGAAAGCATCCAGAGTCTGGCCATTCGGTCCGGATTCCCTCAAAATGGCGTATGTGTGTGTCATGAGGGAAAGTGAGCAGCAAAAATAAGTTTCCCCGTCGTTTCGTAGTGTTTTGGGCTAAAAAAGATATGAAAAGAGTAAGATATTTTACATTGATATTTCACCATATTATTGTAATAAACATAAAGATAAAACTAACATTATATAATTCTTTAAGAATATACAATATATATTAACTATTCGCTCTCTAACCTCAAAATAATATTAACAACATTCATAACTAAATTGTTATAAAAGTATTATTGAAATAAACTTAACTAAAACTTAAATAAAATAAACTTAAATGAAACTAATTACAGGATGCCATCTTACTGCGTACGGAAGTGTTCCAATTCATGGAAAATAGGTTATTCAATGCACCATCTCCCAAAAAATTTGGAGCAAAAAAAGCAATGGATTACTAATATTGGTAGGGATGATTTCGACTTCTTTAAAATATATTATAACACTCTTTATATTATTTTATTTACTTTATTAATAACACTCTTTATATTCTTAGTTTTTCATTCATACATTAATAAACTATATTAATATACAATAAGTACATTTTCCACCAGAGATGTGGGAAAAGCTACACAGCCCCAACAATTCTTAAAAATAAATCAAATAAAATTATAAATAGTGCCTCCTTAGATGCAAATGACATTGGTTCTGCATGTAAAATTATTTACATGTAAATTTTAAATAAAATATATGCTATATTTTTTAGTAAGAAGAATATTGTTAAAAATATATACATTTACAGTAAGTTTGCAATGAATGATAAAGTTGTTTTATTTTAGAATGAAGTTCATATTAACAATTCAAATACTAAAATAATTTTCCTTTCCAATAATATTTCCTTTTAATTTATATATATATTCTTTAAACGGATGTACGTTCCCGCTACATTTTTATTTGTTCCGCCATTGTGAGGGAACGCAGATCTTGCGACTTGTGATTGGACTGTGTCCAATTGCCCCGTGTCCAACTGATATACACCTAGCAGTCTAGTAGTATATAGAAATCTGTGGGCCAGGCTGTATTCTAGGGACTCTATTTTCACGCTGTTCGATGCGCCATCTGCACTCATTTTTTAGGTGGAACTACGTTCCCTACACCCATTTTCAGACGCTACCGTAAAGTGTCGTTTTGTTGCGTGTCTATTCTACGTCTATTTTCTAGCGATTCGTATCCGTGCTAAGCGCATAATTGAGTGGTTAAGAACATGGGCCCATATCCTTGAAATTTTTTGAAACCTATAAGATTTGTTCGCGTTGTATGCCCCAACGTGCTCCTATTCGCTCCAACGTACTCTGATTGGTCCGCGTGATGACGTAAACCAATCAGAGTGCATTGGAGCGTGTAGGGGCATGCGACGCGAACAAACCTATATATTATATATATTACCTGAGACGCGCGCTACCTCTTGAGACATGCGGGATGAGAGAGAGGTTCCTTGTTTCCTTTCTTATCCTTATCTGGTTCATAGTATAGTCGAGAGGGGGGAGAATGTGATACAATCCAAGTTAAAAGTTATAGACAATATGAAAAGCAGTGACCACTGAATAACAATGACTTAAGCTTATGAACGAAAGTTTAAGATATAAAAAAATATTTTTTTTTTCTTATTTATTAGTATTCACTTATCGATTTACTATTAAGAAAAACAAAGCAAAGATGGTTCTTAATTCAGAGATTCAGCTTATATTTAAAAATCAGCCAACTTAGCTTTTGATTCAGACTGTACTAAACAAAGACAGAGCACTGTTTTAAACCCACAAGTATGCTCTCTCTCATCCCGCACACTCAAGAGGTAGCGCGCGTTCCAGGTAGTATATATTCAATGGCACCTACACACGGAGGCAATGCTTCACGTATCGCCACGCGAGGTCTCCAGAGTCAACTCAGAATTTGTCTACGACTCCTGCGGATCACTGCAGAACCTTAATTGTCATCGCTGATATTTGGGCAAAAGCAAGTTATGAGTTCGATACTCGTGCCGGAAATTCCACCAGCGGGCTTTTCTTTTGATCTCTGTCAAAGGTGAAAATTCATTATAATTCACATGTATCATTATATTTATTTCGTGATAGTTATTAGAGATAACCTACAATTTATCGATATTGCTGTGTCACAGTTGTAAGCATTATTTTTCGCGAATTAATTAATTAATTAATTAATTTTAGTATTATGATCTCTTCATGATATTTGCGAAATAAGAAAAGTGTGTAAGATAATAGAACTTCGATAAATTTTAAATTATTTTACGAGTTACACTACCCTACCTGTCATAAATGTTATGATTGTCACAATATGAATGAGATTAACTACTAATAGCTATTTGAGAAACAATCAACGACTTTGTTTTGTCTGTTTTCTTATAAATTTCACTATTTACATAATTTGATTCTTTTGTTTACATGTCATATAAACAAAAGTGTATCATCATTGTACTTACAATCCATTCAGATTTAAAACTGTTTTTTTGTGTTTGTTTATTTTATACAGGAACAATGCACTGATCAAGAAAGGCTTTGCTGCTCCAAAAGTAGTAAAGACAGGCACCACCATTGCTGGTATAGTATACAAGGATGGTGTTATTCTTGGTGGTGACACGAGAGCCACCGAAGATACCATCGTGGCTGACAAATACAGCTTGAAGATTCATTATCTGGCTCCTAATATGTAGTAAGTATCATAACTGCCTTCTTTTTATAATATATTAATCATGCAAGAGCATTGCATCCAAGTGACTCAAATTATTCTTTCAGCTGCTGCGGAGCAGGCACTGCAGCTGATACTGAGATGACTACTGAGTTGATAGCTAGCCAATTGGAGCTGCACCGTCTAAACACTGGCCGTGTTGTTCCTGTATGTACTGCCAATACAATGATAAAGCAGATGTTGTTCCGTTATCAAGGCCATATCGGTGCTGCCCTTGTATTGGGTGGCTTTGATCTCGATGGTCCTCAGTTATATTGCATTTATCCTCATGGCTCTACTGAGAAACAAAAGTATACTACCATGGGATCTGGCTCATTGGCTGCCATGGCAGTCTTTGAGAGCAGATGGAAACCAGATCTATCGGTGAGAAATGCATCTTCATATTCTTATTTCTGTAGATGATTATATGATTTGTCTAAGCCGACTACTATCGTTTTAGAATTTGAGCTCACATTAAGAGTCGTTACTTGAAACTTATCCCACGTGAGATGCATCTGAATTTAGAGTTAAAGTTTTTTTTTTTTTATTTGAATCATATATGCGACATTATATTTGTAATGGCGATATAACTAAAAGACTCATATCTAATTCTAAATTCATATCTAAGTATTTCACCTGAAACAACAAGTTTCAAACAACTGTTAATGCAGTCGTATGAGTCGGGAATATTAGAAGTAGAAAAAGTAGATATTAGTAGTATGAATAAAAAATAAATGAGAAAAGAAATACATAAAAATAAAAAGCCGCGACGAGTATTAAATGTATAGGGTATATTTTAAATGTAATTTTTCGTTTTAACACATATATAATTTGCAATATTTATTGTGCTTTATTTATATATATAAATTTTATAATTTTTTAGTAATTTATATATTTGTATAAATCATTCACACTTATTAATATATTTGTATGCTTTTCTTCTGTCGTATATAAATTAGATGTTTAAAGTACACTTACGAAAAATGTCACTTTGATCTCGATTTAACAATGGCTATCGTCGGTATCAGGAGGAAGAGGCGAAACGATTGGTGGCGGATGCAATTCGCGCCGGTGTATTCAACGACTTGGCGTCCGGCTCGAACGTGGATCTTTGCATAATCCGCAAGAGCGGTGTTGAATATCTGCGGCCGTACGATACTGCTAGCGTGAAGGGTGAACGGCAGTTCAATTATCGCTACAAACCTGGCACCACTGCGGTACTCAGCAAGAAGATTATTCCGATCGTCGTGGAGGAGGAGCATGTGCGCACTATTAGAGAGGAACCGATGGACACCTCTTCATGAAGAAGTTTTTTTTAACTTAATTCGGTGTTTTTAGTTCTAAGTTTAATTCGTAAATGATTTTTGAAGGCGAGTGAAGTCTCGTAAAGTCCGGGCGTATATTTCTAATAAAGGTCGTCGAGATCACGCAAAACAAAAATGTACGATTTTTAGGTTCTAATTTTTCGAAAAAAGATGAACTACGATAAAGAGCTAATTAAAATCGACGAATATTAATGACAAAAACGAAAATGTACGATTTTTAAGTTCTAGTTTTTCGAACAAAGATGAACTACGATAAAGAGCTAATTAAAATCGAAGAATATTAATGACAAGTATTACAAGCCGCACTTTAAGAGAAAGATGTAGGACAGCTTGCGAAAGTATCAATAATTTTCAAACCGAAAGCGATAAAAAAATGTAATATTCTCGGGAAAAATATTAAATATTAGAAAAGTCCAGCGGCCTGCTTAAGTCGCTGCCTTTTCCAGGCCGGTAGCTTCTCGAACTCTGCGGGTTCCATCTTAAAGATTGCGATAAAATTGTCGAAGGTCAAGTGCATCTCCTTGCGTCGTACATCGACACCGGTCGGTAGGTTCTCCGGTTCGCTCTTCAATACCGCTAACGGGTACTTGACATAGTTGTCGAAGTCAGTGGTTGTCTTTGCGGTTGTCTGCAGCCTCGTTGGCTGTTCCCTGTCCTCCAGTAGGGCGCAGAAAACCTCGAACGACTTGTAATCTCTCAGCAGATTGTGGTTCCAGTTGTCGAAGAGCCCGATGAATGTGGCCGGCTCCAAACCTGAGGAGCAGAGAAGTCTCAGGGGACGTGACATATGTAAATTCGAGCAAAAATATTCAAAGAAGGAATACCTAAGAAGAAATTATAAGTATAAAGAAAATAGACGCTCTTGACATAAAATGAATTAGAAACTATTTTTTAAAATATTTACAATGGTTCTTACGTCATCCGCGAGGGAGAGATATCTTCGGTATGAAGAATGTTTTTCAACTGGGTACTCACCTTGCTTAATTATAGAAATTGTCGTGTTGCGATTGCGTCCTGCTGGATGTGTGTAGAGGTACACTGAGGCGTCATCGACGCATTCTTGCAGTGTCCGCGGACTGGAAAACTTTCCCACCCACACCCAAATCACGCTGCCAGCGTCTAGTAACCAGACAGCCTCCGGTATCAGAGAGTTCTGTCGAAATCCGAGGACCTCCTCGCCCACAAAAAGACCGTTTTCGGTTCTACATTGAAACAGATGCTTGTCCAGCTCTTCGCCAACCTCCTCGGTCTCCGTGCCGTAAGTACCCCTTCCTAAAGACAAAAATGTCACTTTATGGTTAAACTGGAAGTTACCAGCTGACTTTGAACGTATTTGAGTGACTTTATATATTTCCTCCATAATACCATATATTATGATATAATAATATAGTATAAAACAATATCTATGTGTGATAAGTAGTTGTAAGAGATAGTTTTGAGTTTCTCATGCGTCAATTTATGATTTATATTTCCGAATTACCTCCGAGTTCGACCCAGAAGTCATTGCTCTCTTTGCCTTCGGCGATGAGAGGCGCGTTTCTGGGCGCGAGGCGTCGCGAGGCCTGTCTGGCGTCGCCGGTGCTCTTGCCACCACACCAGACGATCGGCGTGCTAGAGAACAGAATGAACACTGCGCTGGAATCCAAGCTGCTGGCTCGCAGCGGACGTTCCACCGCTTTCGAGGTGTATGGCGTCGATCCAAACACTCTGACTAAATACTTCTTCGGCGCTGCAAATAGAATAGCTTTTTATTATGAAAGTAGAACACGCATGTCAGTAGTTTAAATTCTCATCAATGTCTTATTGAAATTTCTATTTACATTTGACTACATTGACTACATTTCTATTTACATTTGTTAATCTTTTCTCATTTCTATTCGTTTACATAGTAAAAAAAGGATTGACTTACGTGAGTCGCGATGACGTCCGGCAAGTATCTTCAGCTTTCCATCGTAGATCTGCAGGAGGTGAGGCGGTTCCCTGCCTTGGGATGCCTTCACCAGCTGCGCGTTCGTTTCTTCAGATAAATGGCAGGCTGCCGTCATAGCCGCGTCTCGGTCCACTTTGACGGAATGGACGCCTTCCCAGCAGTAAACCTGAAGATATGACACAATCGGTGAACATTTCGACATGTAAAGTAAAGATCAAACTAACAAATAAAAATTATTGACAAAATTATATTAATCAATTAAAATTGCATGAATAACTTGAATTTATTAACAGAGCAACACGTACAATGCTGCGACACCTTCGTCCTTGTCCGTACTTGTACAACATCACGTAGCAGGCCTCCGCGTAGTAGATGCCCTTGTCATCCACCTCGACCATGCCTTCCTTCTGCTCTACCCGCCACAAACTCCTCTCTCCGGATCCGTCGTCCACCAGTTGACACTCAGCCGCCATCCTGGGTCGTTCGTTCATGTAATCAGGTTCAAAGCTCACCGGTAAGGTCAACGGTCTCGTCTTGGACGGCTCCCAGCCTCTCAGCAACGCCTTCATCTCCGCGGGCTCATGACCCTCGGTCGCTCTGGCTACCGGCATGCCGTCGCTGTAGTTCTTCTTCTTGACGAAGCCGCGCGCGTTCCTCACCGCCTCCAAACTCTCGCGAGCGTTCACATCGCGACCTACCCATGCCCAGACCCCGGCCTCGCCGCGGTCCACCAGGTAGACAGAACCGGAAGTCAGGTCGCTGCGCAACACCGGACCGGACTTGAGCTCGGCGACCTTGTACTTGCCCGATTGCTCGCTGCATCGGTAGAGTTTGATGGGACTTGGTGGGTTCACGCGATGCTGACGATCAGGCGCCACCACTCTCGCCGATGGCTCCAGCACGCTGCTGAAGAGCTCTCTGTCGTTGCTAGGTAGCGTCTGCTCGTAGCCGTCCTCGACCACCACCACACGTTGATCAACGTTGTTGTTCTCCTTCCTGGACTCCAGCAGAGTAGCTGCGTGCCGCTTGTGTAGCGGTTCTGACAGAGTGCCTAGCCACAGGAAGACGACTCCCCTGCAGATGAGAGGAATCTTTAGAAGAGGTTCTGTATCACGGAAGAAAAAGGTTCGATCTATCCTTTAAAGAGATTTTTAGGCGCTTGTACGGAAAATTGAAAATAGATTTTAATGTATTTTATATGATGGGTCTGCTAAATGTTCGTCGCATCTTAGCAATGAAGAAATGAAAGAATATACGCGTAAGTGACGACTTTGAAATATTCACGGAAGAAAAATAATGTTTAATAAATAGGTATATGTAATAAATATATATAGACACGATAATAAATGAATAGTATTCGAGATACTGAAGCACAGAAAGTGCACGCTAAAAGATCCTCGGTTTTCCGTAGAGAATCCGCTGTGGAAACCTTCCGAGGCCTCTATTAAGCCTCATTTAACATTAGAAGAATCAGACCCATCGTTGCTCAATTTCCACAACGCGTGAGTACTTTTTTGCACGCGGAAACTTTCACCGGCGGATTTCCACATCGTCCGGTGGAAAGCGAAAAGGGAACGATCGTCGCACGGAGTGCGCGCCTGCGAGATCACCGCTACGATATATACGCAACCACGGGGAACTTCCTGTCACGCACTTTGCCCGAGCGTCCACCAGGATGACGTCTCTGGAACTGAAGTGCTCCCAGTGCACCTTCTCCAGCTCGGTCAGGATCGGCACCGCCACACCGGAGACGCGATGAAGAGTGCAGCCGGGCGTCTCGAAGTGTAGGTTCTCGACGACCAGACGTTGCCGAAAGTAGGCGAGGAATCTGGGGCTCTCGCGGCCCTGCGCCTCCCTCATTAGAATCGTCGCCGACACCTGAGAGTCCAACTCAGCGGCGCGAAGCGCCGCGGCACCGGACGCCGTCGAGTCGCAGCTCGAGCCGATCCAGAAGTGAATGGCGCGCACCACCGTTGTGCCCTTTTGATCTTTCACCTGGTAATCGACAAAGCGATCGATAGATAACATAGACAAGTAAATGGGATGTTGAACTTTTACTACAAAGAGTCTTCAGAAAAGAAAGAAATTGTTCCTATAGACTTGAGATCTTTTCTTTTTAACTGAACTGTCTGAAATGATGCAATAAGTTAGAGTGAAACAAATATATCTTGTTTTATTCTAACTTATTGCACTAGTCTGCATCAGTTCAAGCAGTTCAGCTGAAACAGAACAGACATTTAATTATCTTCTCAGCAAGACGAATCGTTAATTGTAAGTAAAATTAAAAAAACATAATTATCTTGAAATTTTTGATATCTGAGGATTTTAATTTAAAATAAGAGTCTATTCTTCACGTGACTTCTATTGAGAAATAAGTGTTTGTTATGATAATTGGACAAGAGCACGAAGAGATCAAGATTAGTTAGAAAAACTCGGGAGTTGTGGATTTCGTATGCGAGACGAGGACAGAGACGAGCTTTCGTTTGGTTTCTCTCACGACGACGCAACAATAGAAGTAAAAGTACCGGCATTCCCGGATAAGGAAGAGCGCCGTCCTTCGCTGACACTGCGTAGACGATGTACGCCGACTCGGCGAAGAAGAAGCCCATATTGCTATTAGGTACGGCTGTTGCTCGTAGACCCTGAAAGCATGAGCGTCAATAACAACGTGTAATCGTAAATAAACATGAAAAAAATAATCCGATATAATTTATCAATTTATTTATTATATTTCTATATTTTAAATCTTAGACAGTACTAAACTCACAAAAATGTCCAAAAGACATCTTGTTTTATTCAAACGTCATTAAGATGTCTTTCAAAAGTTTGTGCTGCCTAGGATGATTATTCCAAAAAAAAAATATATATATATATAGTTTTTAATAATAAATTAAAGTTATCACACATAGAATATATATATATATATATATATATATATATATATATATAATTATAACAATCTAATAGCTGTAACTACCAAATCTGATAACTCTAATTAACTTAAAATGACTGTATTAGCAATCACAATATTATCATTAATGATTCAACTTTCTAATAGTCGTCATTTATTTAATTTAGAGACAAATTTTATCTTGTATTGCATCTTATCTTTTGTTATATCGAGAAACGTTGCGACTTCATATTTACCCGATAATTATCCTGGTTAATAAATAACGAGCTCACCTCAATTTTCCAGACGCGGAAGGTGCTGCTGTTCTTCGGGATGTTCCTGAAGACTTCGCCGCCGGAGTCATCGCTGCGACAGCTTTTGTCATCCTGCGAGATGGCATTTAAACCTTGAGGGTACAACACGCTCGTCATGTTCCGCCGCGGTTTACCGCCGGAAACCAATTTGCCGAAAATCTCTGCCCCCCCAATCGCTCGAAATTTCGCCGATCGCGCCTAATCTCGCGTGTTACATCGGAGGCGAGGTCGCATAAGCAGCACGAAACATCAACCTATTATTAAAGCACCTTGACTCAGAGTACTCTCAGATAATTTGGCACAAAGGACAAAGTCGAGTGTCCTCAAAATTGTTGCGGAACCGTCGGAAATGTGAAGTGAGTCGATCGACCGATGAGCGTAGATACGCGCGGGCTAATCAGCAACGAGTTTCAACATCGATAATATTATATACAGAGAGGTAGCAAAAGAGAGGGTCCTTTGCACGGACGTTTCGCAACGGAGAAACGGCGCTCGCGCGCTTCCCGAGCGGACTGAAAACTGGGATACCAGAGCTCGCGAGGACCTCCGCATCACAGGTGCACTCGAGTGCTCGCGTGCCCGTTGCGCTTACGTATACACACTACACACGCAGTCTTGGACGGAGCTATGTGTTTTCATTTCTCGCATCTCTGATCCACTTGATTCTATTTAATCAACGTACATATTTAATTAATCCACTAATATGCAATTCAACCCAATTTCACTGTTAGCACTGATCTGACCGTAGTTTCTACTTGAAGAAGTCTCATGACTCGATTGTAGCTTTTAATTCCACCGTGGAATTGCGTGTGCAAATTTTGAAAAAATTCCCCATCGTCACCGAAGAGCAGGACGTAAATTTTGGAGAGACGTTTCTCTCGCGACGCCGCGCGATTTCGAATAGTCAATTCTGCGCTACGCTCTTCGGCTTTGAGTTGATTGACCTGTAACCACATCGGATCCCGGTAAGATGGGCCCCATTATGCGGTCACCGTCGCATTGTGCTGGTTTTGTTCCCCGATGTGTGAGTGCGTGCGTGCGTTCGCGCTTGTTTCATTCATATCCACGCCTCGCATTCGGCGGTAACTCGAGAGAGAGAGAGAAAGAAAGACTCTCGCGTGTATTATTGTGTACGTACACGCTCACGCACACGTGTGGCTTAAGCATCATCCGCGACGATCATCATCGCGACAGGCAGGAAGTCGCAACTGCCGCCCGCACGCCCACTTCTGCGGCAGTTGCGCCAAAAGGTGAAAATTCGCGGTCGCCCGACCGCGAACGGTTGCGAGTCTCCTAGTTCTCGCGGAGGAAAAAAACACCGATTTATTACTTCGCTCGCGACAATTCCTTTGTTCGCTGACTGAAAAAGCGAAAAGAGAAAGACAAGTGTGTGAGAGAAATTGTGTATCTTTTGAGGTACTATGTTAGATTAAAATATGAGAAGCATGGGTGTATTAGATGTACATTTGGATATTTTTGACTGTAGACTCGATAGTCCAATTATCCTTCTGAGAACAAATTGATTTCTTCCTACAAAAAATTGACGCTAAAAGTAAGAAAGACAATATTTGCAGCTTAATACGTTGCATCTTGGACATCCTCAATTTGTTCACTACTGTGCGACTTAGCCGAGAAGTATGCTAATTATTTTTACGGTTATTCGAGACCTCCTTAAGTCTATCAATCTTCTCTGCCCCTCCATTTCCTTTCCTGCCACATTAATATTTACTCTTCTTCTTTCTCAAATTCGAAGATTTTCATTCTGTATTAATTCTTCTGAGCTATTGAGGTCCCCAATTAGACTCATCGGTTAAGAGCACACAGAAGAAAAATCAAACTAAATCGAAGACGCACTAGTCAAACCCGAAGATTTCGCGAAAGAGAAGAGAGAGAGAGGACACCGCCTATCTTCTTTACTCCTTGAAAAATCACAACACCGCCCTTGAGATCACCGCTGGAGAACGAACGCGAGCCGGAAGACGCACGTCCATCACCTCCTCGAGAATCTCCCTGAAAATTTCGCGCCCACGCGTCGCCCCCCGCGCGCATTACCCACCCCCTCCGATCGAAGGAGGTCGAAAGGCCGAACTCGCGCTGAACGGATTATCACTCACCCGCCTGAGGAGATCCATTGTTCTCGCTATCTATCTCTCTCGGCCCATTCGGGCGTCTCTCGCCGGCGGGGGACACGCGCGAAGGAGCAGGATGTTACTATACCTTACTTAGCCGTGCTCTCGCGTAAGCGTACGCGACGGCTAACTGTATAAGCGAACAACTGATAGCCGGCCGCGTCGATGCCCGGCATGAAAAAGAAACCGTAGCGGTGCGGCCGCCTCTCCCGTACTCGGCGTTGGTACCGCCGTCCGGAAGTGGGCCCCGGAACTCCTGCCGGCCAGCCGTGACCGGCGGGTAGCCGCGAGCTGGTGGTGGCGGTGGCCTCGTGCTGGAATAACGCACGCTCGGGGCCCGCATGCGGGGGCCCGTCCCTCCTTCTATCGCGATCTCTGTCTCTCCCTCGCCGGAGGTCTTCCGCGATCTCACCTGAGCGAGCGGGCGCGCGGACAGGTGTGCGCGCGCTCGCCTTTCCAACGTTACCTCCTCCTCCACCTCCTCGCCGCGGACAGACGGAGCGCGGGCAACTTTATTACACACGTCCTAGAACGCGTAATGGGATCCTTCCCCTTCCTCGGGCCACTCGCTCGCGCTTCCGCCGTGTTTCGGAGGTGTGCGGGAATTAAGGACGTCGAGTGAATCGGACGAAGGAGCAAGAGAGGGAGAGAGAAAAAAAAGAGAGCGAGTGCAGTGCGAAGTCGGAGAATCGAAAAAGGGAACGGGATGGGGTCTCTTTCTTTGAAATTATAGCTCTAGTGATAGATAAGGCAGATTGTACGGTAGTTTATCACACGTCCTAGAATACGTAATGAGCGCCTTGCATGCCTCGTTTCGCTCCCGTCGCGATGAACACGAGGCATCTCACACGAATGCGAGGATTAGGAACGGTAACGAGCTGAACAGAAAAAAAGAAAGAACGGGCAAAAAAGATTGAAAATTGAAAGGAGATTTTTATCTCTCTATATATGTGTGTGATTATATATAATTAAATATAATTATATATATGTAATTTCATCCAGCATTATTCGTGGTCATATATGATTATGTATAATCATACTCATATATATATATATATATATATATATATATATATATATATATATATATATA